CCCACACCCAATTGGGGGTGTGGCCGGCCTGCAAACCCCAGTGGCCCCTCACCTGGTCGGCCCACCCTGAGCGGGGACCCCCACCCCGCTAGGGCCCCCATCAGGGAAAGCCAGCTGGCCCCCACCCATGCACCAGGCCTCTATACTATATAATAAAAGGGTAATATGCAAATTGACCCTAATGGCAGAACAATCAGAATGACTGCTGGACCAGTCACTATGAGGCACATTGACCACCTCGGTGGCTGGCAGGCTCCAATCTCCTGATGGCAAACGGGGAACTGGGGTTGGGTGGCGGGGTATGCGGGTGGTGCCAGGCCAAGGCCTCCGCCCCGCTGGTCACCTCTCACACAGAGGGCGACACATGGTGGGGGCAGGGCCGGCGAGTGGGTGGGAACAGCCAACCTCTTGGTCCCTTCCCCTGGCCGCCAGGCACTGATCACCCAATGGCAAATGGGGAACCGGGGATGGGTGGTGGCGGGGGGTGGGGCCGGCTGTGGGCAGCTGGGGAAGATGGCCCTGATGGCAGGCCAGGCCTAGGGACCATACCCACGCATGAATTTCGTGTGCAGGGCTCTGTGATATAAAACTGAGGAATTAGGGATTTCAGAAACTCACAATTGGCTCTAGGCCAGTGGTTCCCAATGTGGGGCACACATCCCCAAAAGGGGCAATTTTATTTTTAAGGGGGGCAATTTGAGAATGAGTTATTAACAGTGAATTTTCTGCATTTCTTATGGTTCTAGGGGCCTCACAGACATATTTATGCATTTTAGTTCTCTACTATATGTTTTGAAACTTTATTTGCTATTTTTCATGTCACTTCTTATTATTTTTTAAACAATTTCTTAGTGATTTCTTCCTCAACACTTCAACTGTCCTTTTGTTCCTTTAATTTTCTCTTTCATGGATGCCATGTTCTTTGGAAGCTTGTTAGACCAAGTTAATAGCCTTTTAGGCTTCCTCCATGTGAATAGGAGTTCACTTTTTGAATAAGAATTTTATGTCACGGTGGGGGGCGGGGCATCAGGATTTTAGACATGCTTAGGTGGGGTAAGGCCAAAAATAAGTTGGGAACCACTGCTCTAGACCCATTAGCTGTCCAGTTAACTCCAGTCACGGAATCTTCATCAAAGAGGGATGGATACAATAGGTAAGAAATTAACAGGAGAGCAGCCCTTGGGAGTTTAGACTACCATTAAACCGGAGGCTGGACAACCCATGGTGGCAGCGTCCCAAGGCCTCACAGGTCATTTCATGCCACTAGTTTTCTCCTTTACACACATGGAAAGTGCCTGGTTACCACCAGCGATGCACTGGAGTTGACTTATATGGACAGAATTGATTACAGAGGGCTCTTCCCAAGCCCTCCTCCAATGATTTCAAGTTGGTAGCTTGAAATTGGACCACGGTGAGAGTATTTACACCGTGGAAATTGGCAAATGCTCCATACAAGTCACCTTCTCCCACACCCCAAACAGAGCCAGTTGTCATGGATACCATCCAGGTTCATCTTTCTCAGCTTTCACAAGGCTCTCAACTTTGTCGCTGAGAAAACCCCATGGACCCGCTTGGCTCACTGACCTGGGCTCGGTTGGTGTACAGCACCTTCATGTCCTTCAGCTTCTCCAAACCCTCACTGTAGCAGAGGATGGCCGTCTCGTAATCGCCTCTGACAAATGCCTCATTCCCTTTTCCTTTGAGGGCTATGAGAACAAGTCATACAGGTGAGCTCTCTACACACTGCAAAATGCTTTCAGATTTTATTCCCCTGATTTCCGACCGTACTCTGAAGGGCACAGCTTATATCCATCAACGGGGACCTGTCACTCGTGTCTCTCTCAGATAGTTCAGGATTGGCTTCTTTAAGGATTTCTTTCTCCAAATTCACCCCAAATCTTCTAAGTAGCTTCTCAGAAAAAGTAAATGTTCCTGTCTCAGGAACTGAGAACCATTCCAAGCTTGCCACAAAGACCAAGTCTACACATCCGATGTCATAAAAAGGGTCAAACCACGAATTTTCCAGCAAATATGCTATCATTCAGTCTGCAGCTCACGTGCCACTGGGTGGTATAAAGTCAACGCTGAAAGCATTCTGTCATGTGTGCTCCCCCCACACGCAACTTGTATTTCTTTTCATTTCTCCTCTCCCTTCTCATACCTTTGGTTTCTAGTTTCATTTTTCTTTTTTACCTCTTCATCTATGCCTCAGGCTAGCCAGTGTACCTCACTCCCATGCCTCCCTATGTTCCCAGTGCCATTTAGCACTGCTCAATCTGACCTGCCAAGTCTGCCCACATGCTTAGGAAACAGACTGGACTGTGGAGGCTGACCGACAGCTATGTCCTGCTCCCTGATCGCTGCATCAGGGTCAGGAGACAGGCCACCAATGGTTCCTGCCTGGTCAGGTCCCTCTGCCGAGGTCCACCTGAACCCACCCACTGGGAGTCCTGATGTCCTCAAACATCAGCAGATAGACTGGTTCCAGCACAAATCATTCCAGCTATGGAAAAGCGAAGGCTGACAATTACCATCCGCTAAGGCTCTGTTTTCCTTTCTTCTCTTGGCTCGTTCCTTTGCATCCTTCTCCACAGATGCCAAGAAGGCCTCTGACAGCAGAATAATTTCAAATATTAAAAAGAAAAATCCAATACTAAAATCAGTTCCTTATCTCACATTTGGAAGACAGCTACTTTAAGGTGTTAGGGCCACACTCTCATGCATACACATGTAGGCACACACACATAACTAAAATGAAATCATCTTAATTTGACATGGTAATCTGTCATGTATTATTATACATGATGGCTATGTCTATGCTTCAAATTTGAATTATGACTTTAAAAAGAGTTTTTCTCTGAAGCCTCACTTTTTTGTTCTATTTAGCATAATGAGCTTCTGAGCTGAGCAACAAAAACGATCTGATCCCTTGAGCAGCTGAGTGTAAACTGGAAGATACAGAACAACTGAATTCAGTTCACACAAAAGATTGAGCGGGGAAAAGAGAGAAGCCTCCAAGCTGTTCCCTCTGACTACCAGCCACAGAACTGGGTGACCAGTAGGTTTTTGCTCATGGGATGTTTGTAAACCCAGAGGCTATAATTTAAGGGTCTGGAAGCTGCAGCCAGTAAATAAATAATGATCCTAAATAAGTCATACACATTGGGAAGAGAGATGCCGCCCTTACCTGCGTTCATTTCATCTGCGTTCTGCAGGCCACAGGTTATCATAAAAGCAAAGAAACAAATTTCAGAAACAATGCTGACTAATAAGTATGCAATTACACATGGAGACTAGGTCATTCCCTTTAACAAACCCAAAGGACTGTTTAAAGATGACCAGAGGGAGCAAGGGAAAAAAAAATCAGGGTTTATACTTCCTTGTGGAAAATACATCTAGTGAATCTGAAAAAAAAACCACAAACTGTCAGCCTCAGCAGACAGTCTGAGATTGAACTACTCCCTGCTCCGCCTCAGCACAGACCCTTCACTGTGCCTAGGTATATAAGTTCCAACAGAAAAAGGCAACCTTCCCAGGAGCTTGTGGAGGGCTGATTGTGGTCTTGTTCAAGGTGGTCCTGCATCCATCCTCGTCTTGGTCTTCCTCTGTGACCAGTAGCCTCTTTTCTGTCTTGAAGATTGCTTTCTCTTGTACAACTGGGTCATCAGAATTCATCTCCTGGATTAAACTGGCTAGAGAACAAGTTAGACGTGAATCATTCAAACTAGGTCTTCAATAGGAAAGACGGTTCACTAGAAAGCACAGTGTGGAGCAGGCATAGGAAGAACTCTTATTTTTCCAGCTTTATTGAGATACAATGTGTATATATATATATATATAATATATATATATATATATATTCCTAAAGCAACCATTACGACCGGGCTCTATGATGCACACTGACAGCCAGGGGGCAGATGCTCAATGCAGGAGCTGCCCCCTGGTGGTCAGTATGCTCCCACAGCCAACTTCCCTCAGCCAGCCAACCTCCCATGGTCCTTCCCCCTGGCTGGCCAGCCCTGATCGGCCCTGATTGCCGGCCAGGCCAAGGGACCCCACCGTGCACAAATTCATGCACCGGGCCTCTAATCTATATACATAAAAGGCTAATATGCAAAGTGTACCCTCGGGAGTTCCACCAGGAGAACGGGAGTTCAATCACTTGCTATGATGTGTGCTGACCACCGGGGGGAGGTGCGGAATATGGCAGGTGACCAGCAGTGGTGGCACACAGATGGCGAGGGGAGGAGGAGGCGGAGAGGCAGGGAGACGGGGAACCTGATCGGCCCTGATCGAAGGCCAGGCCTAGGGACCCTACCTGTGCACGAATTTTGTGCACCGGGCCTCTAGTTGACATATAACATGGTGCAAGTTAAAGGTGTACACTAGTGACTTGATACATATTGTGAAATGATTCCTACTATAAGCTTAGTTAATGCATCCATCTCCTCATATAATTACTTTTTTTCTGTGTGGTGAGAACATTTAAGATCTACTCTCTTAGGAACTTTCAACTATATAATACAGTATTGTTAACTATAATCACCATGCTGTATATTAGGTCTCCAGAACATATTCATCTTACAACTGCAAGTTTATACCCTTTAACCAACATCTACCTATTTCTTAAAGAAGGTTCTAAATAGAAAACAAAAATTAGAGTTATTAGAACCAATTAAAAAACACCCCTAAGAACAGGATTTGTTTTGCCTGGGGAAAGGTGCAGGTGAATTTAACCATGGCCTTCAAGGAACAGAATTTTAAGCACTTATTTAATTCAATAATTTATGGAGAGCTTATTATGAGTCAGATATTATGCAGAATGCTACAGATAACACTAATGATTTAAAAAGATCCTTATTGCCCTAACTGGTTTGGCTCAGTGGATAGAGTGTCGGCCTGTGGACTGAAGGGTCCCAGGTTCGATTCTGGTCAAGGGCATGTACCTTGGTTGCAGGCACATCCCCAGCAGCGGGTGTGCAGGAGGCAGCTGATCGATGTTTCTCTCTCATCAATGTTTCTAACCCTCTATCCCTCTCCCTCTCTGTAAAAAATCAATTAAAAAATATATATGATCCTTATTTTTAAAGAGCTTACAATCTTGTGTGGGAGACAAATAGGTAAATAAAGGCAGCTCTAACATTACTAAACAATAGTCCTTAATCCTACCCTTATCTGTCTTCACTTTACTGCCCACCCAGCTTAGGTTCCATGGTCCATCACTTGGCCACCACCCCACCTGCCAGGCAAAACTCCAACTCTAAAATGAATCCAACTCTTCAATTCTCTGAGCCTGTATCAGGGATGCTGAGTACTGATAGAGAAAGACAGATGGATGCCTGGGGGAGGTGGTCCTAACTCAACTGGACCACCATCCATTCTCCTTCCCACTAGAGTGCCCACATCCACACCCGCCCTCCTTCCCACTGCACAGAAAGAGTATCCCTCCTGCTAATGAAGCTAATCTCTTGTCCTGTGCTGACCATACCACCATCCCGGTTTGCATAATCAGGAACCTTGCATCACCAATTAATTACGCCCTCTCCTCAATATTTTCAACCTCTCCCATTCTACCAGCTTCTTCCCATTGGTTTTTATACACTCTCAGTCTCTCCAAAGGCATTTTCCTGTTCTTATTTCTTCATTTTCCAAAGACTTTTCAAGGTAATTTTTTACCTTTTTTAGTTGTCAAATATTTCAAACAAGTAAAGAGTAATATAACTGACATTTTTTGTTCCTACCCCATCTGTAAGTTAATAAGTATCCCTTTCCAGCTTGTTTTAATGTTTAGTATTTTGTATCATTTAGCTTTTGTTGAGTAACATGCCACCCAAAAACTTAGTGCTTAAAACTACCATTTATTTAGCTTTATTTGGTTCACAATTCTCTAAGTCAGCAATTTGGGCTAGGCTTAACAGGCCAGTTCTTCTGGTTTCCGCTGGGCTCATCCATGTTCATGGCCAGCTGTCAGTCATCCAAGTGGCTCTCTTCTGAATGTTGGCTGGCTGCTAGGTGGAACAATGGGAGCAACTAGGAAAAGTGTCTCTCATCTCCTGGCATGGGTTTCTAAGAGTGGTATGAGAGCAAGCCCTACTGCACACCTACTTTTCAAGCTTCTGCTTGTGTCATGTTTACAAAGATCCCTTTAGCCAAAGCAGGTCACATGGCCAACCCAGATGCAAGAGATGGGAAGAAAGGAACTAGTGACCATTTTCGTGATCTCTTAGAGTGTATGTGCTATTAGTTCATGTGCCTGTGTCAGAGACAGAAGAGCACTGCACAGCACTGCTGCTCTGAGTTGCTCTGAGTCCATATATTCTTCTGAATTCTCCTCGACTACACCAAGTATCAGGGCAGGTTCCTTCTCAAACCCTGCCCATTGCACTAACTGTTGGGTCCAAGCCCCTCTGTCTAGGGCTGGACCTTCTTGGATGTCAGGTCTTAGACGGAGAAGTCATGAGAAGTTGTGGGTATATAAGAATGAGTCTTTGTTGCAGAAGCCAGTGGCCATATAGCCATCAGACAACACAGTCCTTCACAGCAATCCCATATAGGCAGCTGCACACCAGCTGGTAAACATATATCTTTCCCACACAGTAATAGCAGTCTCTGTACCCTTAGTTATTATCTGAGCAGCCGCACGCTGCCTCTAAACTCACCACCTCAAATGGTAGCAGCACCTGAGCTCTCTGCCCGAGCTCTCCAGCCTCTCTGGCTCAGCAGCTTCTCCTGTTTCCCCTGCCTACACTGGCTTCACATGGTAGCTATCTCTGAGCTGTCCACGAGCTCTTAGTCTTACATCGCAGCAGCACCTCTGTGCCTGCTGCCTCTCTCCTCTCTCTAGCTCACTGGCTGGTCAATAACACGTATATACTCCTTAGACAAAGAAGGCTAGTTACCAACAATGACATCAATCATTTGTCTATAGAAGGGCACAGCGTACCGTGAGATTACCGTGGCCTTGCAGCTATGTAGTCCTTGGACATTTCTGATTAAGATTCCCATGTTCAGAAAAGCCTTGGCTGTCCGGCGTACTATCAACAAGGCCTCCACACTCTAATTAGCCTTGACCATTTGGGACTCTGGTGTGGTTTCCACAGCCTGACACTTTAAAAGGCCAGTATTCAAAACGTCAGAGTTTGGAGTAAGGAAAGGTTTATTGACAGAGAAGATGCCCAATTGAGAATATGGGGTCCTTACAGGTTCCTCAAATCCATCTTCTCCAAGCCCAAAGTTCAGGCCCCTTTTAAATCAAGGGGGGGAAGGGGATGGAAGGGGCAAGAGGTGATTGACGATCCTGATCCTAGACATCTGGGCACCACAGGGATCTGAGGAAGAGCACAAAATCTCTAAATCTCTCTGTTCCCCTGATGATCTGAGTCCAGTCTCGAGGTTCCTGCAAATCTTTGATAAACAGACATTATTTTGTACATATTTCCCCACCTCTTCAGGAGGTACCTCATGGCAAGGGGCTGTTCTTCCAAAAACTCTAGGCTCAAGCAGAATTCCTCTAATGATTAGCATATCTATAGCAGGAGCTATTTGCCTGAAGGCTATGGGAACAATGCAGGCTAGAATTTAGACAGAATCAGAGACTGAGCATTTTTCACTGTTACATATGTGTGTGTATTTAATCATCTTAAATAAATGGTTTCATAAAATGTGCATTCTTTTGCAACCTACAGATAGTTCCAGTTGATTCATTTAAATTACTGTATAAACCAGTGGTTCTTAACCTTCCTAATGCCGCGACCCTTTAATACAGTTCCTCATGTTGTGGTGACCCCCAATTTCATTGTTACAAATTGAACATAATTAAAGCACAGTGATTAATCACAAAAACAATATGTAATTATATATGTGTTTTTCGATGGTCTTAGGCGACCCCTGTGAAAGGGTCATTCGACCTCCAAAGGGGTCACGACCCACAGGTTGAGAACCGCTGGTATAAACCATAGTTAATCCATTCTCTTATTGATAGACATCCAGGTGTTTTGCAATTTTAATTTTTTTACTACAGAAATGCTAAATTGAACATCTGTGTACATATTTCCTTGTGCACATATGCAAGATATTTTTCAGGATATTGCTATATCAATTGTTACTCCTACAAGCAGTCTACACAAGTTCCCATGGCTCTACTTCCTTTCTCACACTTGCCATTGCCAAACTTTTAAATTGCACCATGCTCATGGATGAGAACATCTCTATAATATTTTCATTAGCATTTTCCTGGATATGATTGGGATTGGGAATCTTTGTGTTAGTTTGTAAGCCATTTGGATTTCCTTTTCTATGAACTGCCTATTAGGATAGAAAAAGGCCTTCTTTTTCTTTGCTGTGGCCTTCCACAATTTATGAGAAGCACCTGGTAATTAAAACCCAAGACTGCTAGCTCATGTGGTTCAAACAGCCCCTCTGTTCAAACTGCAAGACAAGTTACTCTCAGGGCTATATTCTTTTTTAAAAAATATATTTTTATTGAATTTTAGAGAAGGGAGAGGGAGAGAGAGATAGAAACATCAATGATGAGAGAGAATCATTGATCAGCTGCCTCCTGCACATCCCCTACTGGGGACTAAACCTGCAACCCAGGCATGTGCCCTTGATTGGAATGGAACCTGGGACCCTTCAGTCCACAAGCCAGAGGCTCTACCCCTGAGCCAAACCAGCTAGGGCTCAAG